GAGGAAACAGAACCCAGAGTCATTTTCATCACAGCTGTAGATCACTAAATACAGTTATGACCTGATATATTTAATATAATGGACTCCAGCTGATTATTTGTGTAAATGACGAGCATCAATCTGCTTCTGGATGCGTTATATGTCTGTATCTGAGTTTCTCTCAGGTCTGAATGATGTGATTGTGTTGATGTGTGTCGATGGAGACGATTGAAGTGAATGTGGTTTGATTTCAGTCTCAAGCTGAGCACACAGAGCGTCAGATTAAACAGCAGTTTGAGAAGCTTCATCAGTTTCTCAGAGATGAAGAAGAAGCTACAATCACTGCACTGAGGGAGGAAGAGGAGCAGAAGAAGCAGATGATGAAGGAGAAGCTGGAGGAGATGAACAGACACATCTCAGCTCTTTCACACACAATCAAAGACACGGAGGAGATGATGAAAGCCAGTGACGTCTGCTTTCTGAAGGTCTGATTTCAGATGATTGATTGATTGATTGATTGATGATTGATTGAGTTGTTGATGATCAATGGTGTGTTTGTTCTGCAGGAGTTTCCAGTCTCAATGGAAAGGTGAGTGATCTGCTGCTGTCTCTGCTCTCTCTGCTTCTGATCCAAAGCCACTGCAGTTCTGATCCTGAATGTTCTTCCAGAGTCCAGATCTCATCACAGCCGGATCCACAGACTCCTTCTGGAGCTTTGATTCATGTGCCACGTTACTTGGGCAACCTGCCCTTCAGAGTCTGGACGAAGATGCAGGACATGGTCCAGAACAGTGAGTCTGACTGCAGAAGATCTGAGCTCGCATACACACACACTGGAAATGATGCAATATTGACAGATTTCAGCATTATGTGTGAAGAACCAGATCATCTGCTGCACCAAAATCAGCAGCTTCACTTTAGAAAGGGGTGTAAAAAGTATTCAAAAACTAAACTCAAGCTAAAGTACAGATACTCTGTGAACATTTTACTTAATTAAAAGTACAAGTAAATGGCCAAAAACATACTTGAATAAAAGTAAAAGAGTAAGATTTTAAATTGTACTCAAGTATTAAAAAAGTAGATGATCTTCTGAATGCAAAGTGAAATAGCTCCAAAATAAACTGCATAAAATGTTTTGTCAGACAGACAAACACAAGTTAAATTTAAAGGGAGAAAAGCAAATGCAGTGTGCACTGATCAAACACATCTATCTAGTGCAACAACAACAATTAAAATGCAGCACAGTGGAGCAGAAACAAATCCATCCTTCACACCTTAATGCCATCCCATACGTGTACCACTTTCTTTCTTCAGATGAACACAGACTGAGAGTTTAGGAAAAATAGTCAATCTTTCTGCACATAATGCAAGTGTACGGCATGAACAAAGATGATGCTTCAAAAACTACACACAGAGAAGACGACAGTAACTCATATTATTATTAAATAATAATTCATTGCCAGTCCTAAGTGTTGCTCAATATATCATTATAATAGAACGGATCGAGTCCCAGGTAAGAACAGCACTAAACATGACTTACAGTTCATTTAACACACAAGTGAAAGTGAAAGTGAAAGTGACGTGTCGTGTGGCCAAGTATGGTGACCCATACTTGGAATTAGTGCTCTGCATTTATCCCATCCAAAGTGCACACACACAGCAGTGAACACACACACACCGTAGCACCTCAACAGCACCTCAGTCGTGGTATTGAAGGTGGGAGAGAGCGCTGTACATTCACTCCCCCCACCTACAATCCCTGCCAGTACGAGACTCGAACCCACAACCTTTGGGTTACAAGTCCGACTCTCTAACCATTAGGCCACGACTTCCCCAAATGTTCCCACAATGTTCATTACACACTTTTTGGAGATTTTTGTAACTTCTGATTTAAAAAGTAATCATGGCCACTGAAACATGAATTGTATTTAAATTATTTTCACTGATTTTATTTGCACTCAGTCTTGTGCATTCAGTCCATATATTACTCAGAGAGCTAATGACTGCATCAAAACAGACACAAATAATGAATAAACTTAGCTACCTTAATATGCTTCCTCACATTTGATGGCAAAGACATTCTGAAGCTAAGAATTGACCTGATGAAAGTTTTAACAGAAGGATGAGCTTGATGCATGAAAACAAACCTCATTAGCGGCAGGTTTGAGCTTCTGGACCATATTTAATGTGTGATAGATCAAATAAAAATGCAAACATGCAATCAGTACTTTTCAAGTTGAAATCAAATTGTAAGGAGTAAAAAGTACTGTTTTTCCTTCATAAAAGTAATCAAGTAAAAGTAGAAGTAGTCACTTTAAATTGTACTTGAATAAAGTAAATATCCTCATTTGTAAGTTGCTTTGGATAAAAACATCAGCTAAATGACTAAATGTTAATGCAAATGTTAGTCAGCTGATCATCAATCATAACTCCAAGCTTTCTAGCTGTTTTTGAAGGAGTTATGCTTGATGTGTGAAATTTTGATAAAGTGATGGGTTTGTTGAAACCACAAGCAGTTCTGTCTTAGCCAGGTTGAGTTGAAGGTGATGAGTGGGGACGGGTCAAGAGGGAGGGGGAACAGAGAGAGAGAGAGAGAGCTGCTTGAAGACCCCCCATACGGGGTCCCCAAATGATCCTCCGCCAGCTGGATGGCGGTTTCCAGGGATGCTGGCCGATGGCACTGAACCCATTCGGCTGTCCGTTTCAGAAGCTGCATGGACAACTGTTCCAGGAGCACCACATCCACCACCCCGTCGGCGTCGCGATCCTCCGGCAATAACCATTGTCGGCAGGCTTCCCGGAGCTGCTGGGCAAAGGCAGTCGGGTGGCCACACTCCTGGAGGGTCAGCGATCTAAAGCACTCACCCTCCAGGAGTGTGAGAAACAGCAGAAACACTGAGAATGATACAGTCAGAAGACTTTCAATCTACAGATCAACATCATTTACCATTAATTTACTGTAACACTAACTGCACCATGGTATTGTGTCAGAAATGTGGAATATTCATATAGAATTTTATTATATTATTAATGTAGCCAAGTCAAGTCACCATTATTTGTATAGATCTTTTTACAATACAGATGGTGTTAAAGCAGCTCTAAACAATGTAATGACATGAAAAAATACTAAATTCACAAAACTTTTTTTTTTCGGGTCTCAGGAGTATATTTACATAAGTGCTCTAGTGTAGTTATTTACCTGTAGTTGTTAATGAAGATGGGTATCATCAGATTTCTGTTTATTCTTTCATTTTTAATTCTTAATGTTATTTAGAAAAACAGACAACACAGAAATACATAGAATGTGTGAATTAGCACTTATGTGAGTGCAGTGTTACTGAATGAGCATTTTAAACTGATGTGCTCAACGCTTGCTTTTGTGTTGACAGACACTCTTTTAATATAGTTATATAATGATATACAAAGAGCCAACACTTACTGCCTCTTTGATTTCTTGATGATTTTGGCAAATCTGCTTCTTCCACACAGAAATTCAGCTGGAATATCCCCATCAGTTTACAAGTGAAGACGAGCATCAAAGCATCAGGAAGCAATCTGCAAAGACTGAGTTTATTAAAGAGGACAGAGAGAAGATGAGAGATCCAGAACCCTGCAGAATCAAACACACTGAAGATACTGAAGAACAAACAGGTTGGTGTTTATTATTCATTCTTCATTAATAATGCTGACGGTTATACAGTTTTCAAGTAGTTTTAGATTGTGTTTGTTGTAATTGGAAATATCTTAGCTCTGCAATAATATACAGTAACTAAATAATCAAATAATAAGGGACACGTTGTTGATCAAACACATTTAAAATTCTTCCTACAGAAACATGGGATATGTGCCTATAATGTTTTAAAAATCATAATTTGAAGATCAATGTACCTCATTCATTGTTAAAGCAGCTCTAAACAATGTAATGACATGAAAAAATACTAAATTCACAAAACTTTTTTTTTTCGGGTCTCAGGAGTATATTTACATAAGTGCTCTAGTGTAGTTATTTACCTGTAGTTGTTAATGAAGATGGGTATCATCAGATTTCTGTTTATTCTTTCATTTTTAATTCTTAATGTTATTTAGAAAAACAGACAACACAGAAATACATAGAATGTGTGAATTAGCACTTATGTGAGTGCAGTGTTACTGAATGAGCATTTTAAACTGATGTGCTCAACGCTTGCTTTTGTGTTGACAGACACTCTTTTAATATAGTTATATAATGATATACAAAGAGCCAACACTTACTGCCTCTTTGATTTCTTGATGATTTTGGCAAATCTGCTTCTTCCACACAGAAATTCAGCTGGAATATCCCCATCAGTTTACAAGTGAAGACGAGCATCAAAGCATCAGGAAGCAATCTGCAAAGACTGAGTTTATTAAAGAGGACAGAGAGAAGATGAGAGATCCAGAACCCTGCAGAATCAAACACACTGAAGATACTGAAGAACAAACAGGTTGGTGTTTATTATTCATTCTTCATTAATAATGCTGACGGTTATACAGTTTTCAAGTAGTTTTAGATTGTGTTTGTTGTAATTGGAAATATCTTAGCTCTGCAATAATATACAGTAACTAAATAATCAAATAATAAGGGACACTTTCTATAAACTGGGTACTTTTTTTGCAACAAAATAAATTATGCTAGATAATTGTGTTGTTGATCAAACACATTTAAAATTCTTCCTACAGAAACATGGGATATGTGCCTATAATGTTTTAAAAACCATAATTTGAAGATCAATGTACCTGATTCATGGAAATTTTCAGGGACTTATATATAAAATGTACTAGATGTATTTATAAAACTGCATCAAAAATATCAAAATATTGTATATCAGTTGTCTACCTTCCACTGTTACATCAGGGTTCGGTTTGATGTCTTTTCACTTTTTAATGAGTTACTGACAAAGAAACTGTTTTTGCTTTTATTTCAGAGTTGATTGAAGAAAATGAGGACAATGAAGAATTTAGTAAAGTTGAGGGAAAAAATCAATTCAAAACTGGAGAAAAACTTTTGAGTTGCTGTCAAAGCAAACAGATAATATTAAGGAAAACAAGAGCCAAGAAATCTTTCACCTGCACTCAGTGTAGAAAGAGTTTGACATGCAAATATAGTCTTGATGTTCACATGAGAGTTCATACTGGAGAAAAACCTTACAAGTGTTCACACTGTGACAAGAGATTCAGGCACTCAGGAGCCCTGAAAATACATGAGAGGATCCACACTGGAGAGAAACCTTATAAGTGTTCACACTGCAGCAAGAGATTCAGTCAGTTAGGAATCCTGAAAACACACGAGAGGATCCACACTGAAGAGAAACCGCACACATGTGATCAATGCGGGAAGAGTTTCACACAAAAAAGAAACTTCATGGAGCATATGAGAGTTCATACTGGAGAGAAACCATTTACTTGTGATCAGTGCGGGAAGAGATTCTCACACTCAGCACACCTTAAGAGACACACAAACATCCACACTGGAGAGAAACCATATGCATGTGATCAATGCAACAAAGCATTTTTGTGCGCTTCATACCTGAGGACACACCTGAAAGTTCATACAAAGGAGAAACCACATTCATGTCATTTGTTTGGAAATAGTTTTGCATTTCTAAAAAGTTTGAAAGTACATCAGAAAACACATACTGGTGTGAGAGAATACATGTGCTTTGAGTGTGAGAAGACTTTTACTACAGCAAAGTGTTTAAAACGGCACCAGAGGATTCACACTGGAGAGAAACATTATAAGTGTTCACACTGTGACAAGAGATTCAGTCGGTCAGGAACCCTGAAAACACATGAGATGATTCACACTGGAGAGAAACCATACAAGTGTTCACACTGTGACAAGAGATTCAGTCGGTCAGGAATCCTGAAAACACACGAGAGGATCCACACTGGAGAGAAACCACACACATGTGATCAGTGCGGAAAGAGTTTCACAATAAAAGGAAGCCTTACAGCACATATGAGAGTTCATACTGGAAATAAACCGTTCACTTGTGATCAGTGTGGAAATAGTTTCTCACAATCAGCACATCTTAAGGATCACATGAACATCCACACTGGAGAGAAGCGGCACACATGTGATCAATGCAGCAAAACATTTTTGAGAGCTTCAGAACTTAAAAAACACCTGGTAGTTCATACAAAGGAGAAGCCCCATTCATGTTATTTGTGTGGAAAGAGTTTTTCATTACTACAAAGTTTGAAAATACATCAGAAAATACATGCTGGTGTGAGAGAGTACTCACTGCACTGCATGTGGGAAGCGTTTCAATCAATCTTCTGCTCTACACAGACATACAAAAAACTATCACAATAAGTAGATCATCTTCAGATCTGATGCTGCGTCCTCACCAAATGTGACACAATAATGCATCAAGCAGTAAAATATAATCTGCATAAATCTGTCATTACAAGCAAAATGACAAAGGAACATTATCTAAAGTTTTCACAGTGAATAAAGTTCATATTCAAAACCAGCAGATTCAGTGAGATTCAGATCAACTCAAAGATGGAGTTCCTCCCCAAAGAACAATGTCAAAAAGTTTTACTCTTGTATGTTATTTTGCTTCATCATTTAAATTATATCATTGTGATTTCTTATGAGTTTCATATTATGTTCAATTGTCTTATAATGCATATGTCACTTACTTACTCTGTCATGAATAAAAGTAGAAGCTTTTTACAAACTGTTCTTGTTCAGGAAGCTGAAGAAGAGACGGTAACACTTTTAAGAAAGACAAGATTTATTTTAAATTTTGTTCTTCACTGTTGTTTTCAGAACGACTAGTTATTTTTCCACTTTTGATGTATTTAGAAAATGCAGATGCAATATATACTGTCATGTAGCTTTGCAACTCATGCTTCTTTGCTTCTCTTGTAAGCAAGGATGGGTACCGCTACCTGGTATTAAACCGGTTAAATTATGAAAGACTGTGTTCTGTTGTTTAGTAGGTACAACATTAACCTTTCACAGGATGGACGACATGACAGCCAGCCATAACTTCTGACAACTTTTATTATCCTCCTCACAGTACCGTAACACACACAATATACAATGCTGTACATAACAATTCTGTACAATTCTAGACTACCCAGAATCTTCAACCGAGTCTGGGGAATATTCTGCCCCATTGACCACTCAGTGTTTCTCCAGGGTATCTCTAACTACAAACAAAGTCCTTTAGATACCCGGGAGGAGCTCTAATCCGGGAAGGATACCTTCTGGCACATGGTGAGGTCAGTTGGCATACCTTCTGAATTTCAGGCGTGGAAGTTGAACTTTCAGAGCACGGAGATACCTGTATATTGGCTGAATCTGGAAGGTCAGATGTCACAGGAGCTTTTGGAGTTGGTGAGAGATGAAACCTGTTTCTAGTCAAGGTACCTCTGGGTGTCTCTATAAGGTATGATCTGGGAGAGCCAGAAGTGGACACAACAGTGCCCCTTTCAGAAGTGTCTTTGACCCATATATGTTCACCTGGTCGTAAGTGTGTCATGTCAAGTACTTTGTGTCTTCAGTCAAATTTTGCTTCTGTTTCTGTCTGTATGTCAGTTCTATCTTTGTCAGCTTTTCCAAATCAGCACACTCTGGACTGAGCTGAGACGGAATCACAGGAACTTGTGTTCGGAGATTCCTTCCCATGAAAAGCTCGGCAGGACTGTAAACATTGGCAAGAGGGGCTGCTCGGTAAGACATTAGCGCAAGATAGGGGTCAACCGACTTTTTCAGGAGGTTCTTGGTTGTCCTCCCTGTTGCTCTGCGGAAAGTGAGGACTCCACGTTACATGGTTGAAACCCCAGTCCTGTGCAAAGACACGGAAACAATCTGAAGCAAATTGTGGCCCGTTGTCCCATTTTTGAAACCTCAAAAAACCTTGAAAAGTAGTCCACAATGACCAAGTAGTGCTTGTTGTCTTTTTGGAACAAATCAGCTCCTACGGTGGACCACGACCTTGTTGGAAATTCAGTAGGCAGCATGGTTTCTTTCAAATGTATTCTTTCACGTGCACATGTGTCACAGTTCTCAATCATTTTTGCTAGGTCTTTACTGAAACCTGGCCACCAAACTGAATGCTTAGCTCTCTCTCTACACTTTGTTATGCCATGACTTTCATGCATTTTTTCCAGTATCTCAGCTCGGAGTGACTTTGGAACAACAATCCTGATTCCACTCAATAACAGACAGTTTTGAACAGAAAGGTCTCCTGAGAATGACATGTAAGGTTGGAATGTTTTGTCAACGGAAAACTTATCTGGCCAACCCTTCCACACAGTATTTCTTTAGCTGCTGGAGTATAGAATTATTTTCTTGGTGCTCTTGGACCTCTTTGAGCCTCTTTTCAGTAGCTGGATGGCTTGCCATGACAGAGTCAGCATACAGATTGATGTCTTCTTCAGAAAGCCCTTCTGCTGTACTGTTTATGGGAGCTCTAGTCTAGACAACACATCTGCTGTTGCGATGTTTTTGCTGGCCACATGTGATATGGTGTATGAAAACCTTTAGAAGACGCATATGAAGTCGCTGAATGTGTGGAGGGAGTTCATCCAATCTCTTGGAGCTGAGCAGAGGAACTAGAGGTTTATGATCAGTTTCAATGTGGAAACTTTTCCCAATGAGAATCTCTGCTCACCTCTCACAGGCCCATGTGGAGGCCAACGCCTCCTTCTCTATTTGCGCGTATCGCTGCTCTGTGTTACTGAGAGCCTTCGAAGCAAATGCCACAGGTTTCCATATGTGGTCTGCTTACTTCTGGAGGAGAACAGCACCCAATCTGTGTGAAGAGGCATCCACAGAAACAACTGTATCCTTGTTTGGATCATACCGCACCAAACCTGGGGGTGTTGTCAGGTCCACTTTAATTTTTTTCAAAGGCCTCTTGCTGATGTGACCCCCAAACCCACATATTGGACTTTCTCAATAAGTCTCTTGAGTGGCTGTGGTTTTGCTGCCAAATGTGGTAAGAATTTACCAAGGTTGTTAACATTCCCAAAAACCACCTCGCTTCATTGACATTACCTGGTTGTTTACCTTAACTGCCTCTAGCTTGTCTGGGTCTGCACTCACCCCTGCCGCCTCAACGATCTGTCCGAGAAACTTGATCTTCACCTTGTGACTCCTGCTTCCTGAAGTCTTGAGAGCACCCTTCATAGCCTCTCATTGTGTTTGCTCTGCGATGACCCCCAGACGAGCATCCAAGTCACATCGTAGAGTGGAGGAGAATGACCACATCCGTCACATTGGTGCCGTGACCTGTTGGATCACCTGATCTTCTCGAAGAGGATCGCTGTGAGGTTGCTGTTTTTATCCGTGGTTAATGTGACTTTATGAACGAAGACCTTTTGATCGCAGACTATTTTTGTGTGCAGACTTTTTGAATGAAGTCATCTTTATTGATACGTCACCAGTTTTGTGACTGTCACTGATTAACAAGTTATCTACTGTTGAGTAACTTTTGAAGTGATATTGTTTCATTAATTTTCATTCATGGGTGAAAAATTTGTTCAACGATTTGATGTTAGCAGTCCCGTAAGCCCTTTTATTCCACGTGGACGGGGCGTCATGACCGACAGCCTTTGTGCTGGTGAACCTACATCTGTTGTCAGTGGAGGAGGTCGTTCTCGCATGGTGCTTGATAGTGCACAGGGTGTTGGTCGTGGTCTGCTTTTTAGGGACCCGCCTGTGGAACGCCATGTTGGGAACGCATCTCCTTCATATAATACGAATTGTTATAATCAAATGTTGGATTGCCTAACCGATATGTTTGGGAGATTGGGCGAACAAATTAGTGATGCCGTCGCTGCCAAATTGATGGAAAATGGAGTGATTAACGCAAGTCGTGATTCTCAAGTTAACAGGGAGCTAAACCCTGACAGTTTCGCCAAACAAGATGTTTCTCAAGTGACAGTACATGTCACTACTGACAGGGAACTTGTGATTTTCAGAGGTGACAGTAGTGATACATTTCCGGTACACGAATGGATTGAGATGACCAGAACACTTCTGTCGAAAGAGAAGTGTGCTGTTGAGAATCAAGCAGATGAAATAATGTCACGATTAATGGGCAAAGCGGGGGAAATTGTGAGAATTAGTCTTAGAAGTGACGCATCTCTTGTGTTGCACCATCGTGCCTTCCTTTGGCTGACTTTTATTCGACTCTGCCTAAGCCCGGTGAGACCGCAGTAGATTACTGGATCAGAATCAATAAGGCAGCAGATCTAGCAGATGAAGGCCTGCGTAGACAAGGGCGGGCCATAGACAAAATCAGTGAAGAGGTGGCTCACATGTTTGTAAAATATTGCCCTGATCCTGTTCTAGCTAGTCTCTTTAAGCACAAGCCAATCAGTGAATGGACTGCGAAAGAAGTTCAGGGGAGGCTGGATGAGCATCAGAGAGAACAACGCTCTTCTCTTGCCTCTGCCAGCTCTCTTGGAGTGAAAAATGTTGATGTTGCAAATAGTGATAAGCGTTTGCCGATGTCTCACTTTCAGGAAACTGGTGCTGGCTTTGCAAACTATGTGAATCCTCCTCCTGTGCCCGATAGCGTACAGGACGGTTTACGCAGTGTTAGCTGTCCGACTCAAACTGTTCCTACGTCTCGGCATATGGGACAGTCAGATGAGAATAGTACAGCAGGGTAACAATGTCCAGCCTGAGAGGAATGTGAATTTCAGGCATGGAGGCAGAGCAAGAGGCTGTGGGGTCTGCGGTAATACTGTACACTCCACTAGGACTCACTGCCTCAAAGACAGGTTGTGTTTTGGTTGTTTTTCTCCGGGGCATGCTCAATCTGCCTGCCCACGGCTTCAGTCAGGAAACTAACCAACCTGTATATGGTGGGAGGCTGTACAGGTTTGAATGGCAACTCCCAAAATGATGTCAATATTGCAAATGCTGAAAACATGTTAATGTCTGCTAAACAATCTTGTTGTGGTGAGAATGTTGTGTTCCAGAACACGAATATTGTCTGCAGAAGGATCCTGGATGGAACAGTGGATCCATGGCATGTACCATGAGTGAGAGCGCAGAACAGAAATTGTTAGATGCTGGATGCTGGAGTGATCAATGTAGAGGCAGCCCAGATGTTATGCTAATTGGCTGTGGGGGCAGCCGAGTAAAACCGAAGAATTCTCTTACACTCGAGCTAGAGATTCATGGATGTAAAATGTTGTTTCCTACTTTGGTTGTTAGTGGGCAGCATGATGAATTCATTGTTGGTACGAATGTCATCAAACACATCATAAGATGTTCAAAGCAATGTGAATTGTTTTGGAAGGCAGTTTCGACTCCTCATGTTTGTAATGATCCTATGTCTGAGGCCTTCCTGTCTATGCTTGCAGGTTTGAATCGCTGGAGGGGTGATGGGGTGCCTGACAAGATTGGCACTGTGAGATGTAATTCAGCAATTTGTCTGGAGCCTGGTCGTGAGTACCTTGTGTGGGGTAGGTTGCCTAAACACACGGAAGTGTCTCCAGGTAGTGCTGTGTTGACACAGCCTACAAGTTCGCGGTCGGCACCTAAAGGGATTCTCGTGGCCAGGCTCGTCACACACCTATGGGGGGACAGGTGGGTTCCGTTGAAGTTAATTAATACCTGGGACAAACCTGTTATGCTGAGACGTAATGCCAAGATAGCCGATTTGTTTCCAGGTATTGCCCTCGAAGATTTGGATGATGGGAACCTGCTTTCTCAGACGCAACAGACTCAGCCAGAGGATAGTATGTC